TGGCAGCCCAGGCTGGCGTCCCCCGTGGGCCGCCGCTCCCCTGTCCTCCCCGCGCCTTCCTCGCCTTCCCGTTGCCCTCGGTGTCCTCGCCTCCCCGTGCGGCTCCCCTCCCGTGGGTGCGTGTCCCCGCAGCTCCCGCAGCCCTGTGCGCGCCCGGGGACACCCAGGGAGAGCAACTTCAACAAGGGGAAGGGCAAAGCCCTGCCCCTGGGGAGGAACAGCCCAGGCACTGGTACAGGCTGGGGGACGACTGGCTGGAAAGCAGCTTGACAGAAAGGGACCTGTGGGTCCTGGTGGGACATGAGCCAGCAATGTGCCCTTGCCGCAAAGAAGGTGAATATTTTGGGCTGTATTAGTCGAAGTATTGCCAGCAGGTCAAGGGAGGTGATCCTGCCCCTCTACTTGGCACTGGTGGGGCCTCACCTGGAGTGCTGGGTCCAGTTCTGGCCTCCCTAATACAAGAGAGATGTAGAGCTACTGGAGAAAGTCCAGCATAGGGACATGAAGATGGTTAAGTGACTGAAGCATCTCTCACATGAGGAAAGGCTGAGAGAGCTGGGACTGTTCAGCTGGGAGAAGAGCAGGCTCAGGGGGACCTCATCAATGTGTACAAATACCTGAAGGGAAGGTGCAAAGAGGATATAGCCAGGCTCTTTTCAGTGGTGCCCAGTGACAGGACCAGAGGCAATGGGCACAAACTGAAACACAGGAGGTTCCCTCTGAATATCAGGAAATACTTTTTCACTATGAGGGTGACCAAGCACTGGCACAGGTTGCCCCGGGAGGTTGTGGAGACTCCATCCTTGGAGATACTCAAAAGCTGTCCGGACATGGTCCTGGGGAACCTAATCTGGGTGGCCCTGCTTGAGCAGGGGGTTTGGACAAGGTGATCTCCAGACGTCCCTTCCAATCTCAGCCATTCTGTGATTCTGTGGTTCCTCCTCACCCCACAGCACTGTGCCCCTCCTATGGAAGGATGGAGGCCCTCAGTGAGGATAAGGGAGCCACTGAAAAAGCAAGGGAGCACAGCTCTGTCCCTTCTGTTCTGAAGGACAGTTGAATCCTCCACACTCATCACAGTGACCCCTTCATGTAGGCCACATCCAGGAGTGTGGTTTCAACACCTCCTGCAGATTATACAGGATGTAAGGTTTGAGGAAAGTCTCTCCCCAACAAGAGGGTGCCCCAGTTCAAGGATATGAAAGGACTCTTCCTTCTCCTTTGCCAACAGCCATGTATGGACCTAGAGAACATTAATTCTGTCAAGGGAAAAAAGGACAGAAGGGACCTCTGTAATAGGGATCTCCCTAGGCAGTGACCCAAGCAGTTGCATCAGTGACAGCAAAGGGAATGGGAACCCAGAACTGACAGTCTGCAATCCCTGACAGCAACCAGAAAAGGCAGCAGAGGCAGTCAAATAGGGTTGCTACAATGGTAAGTGGAAGTGCCCTTTGCTTACCGTCCTTGGCCACTTAAAGACAGTGGCCAGACCTCCCTGCATTCTGGTATCCCAAGAAGATAACATCCTGATCCTGTGCTGTTGATCCACAAGCTTTGATCTACGTGTGGACCTCATTGTGCTTCAGTGTTCCCCAACTCAGCAGTAGTACTTGTGATTCCTGTGCAGGGCTGACATGGGAGCAAAAATTATCATCAGTGTGAAACTGAGATGGAAGGAGAAAAAGGACTGAGCTGGAACTTCATTAATGAAGCAAGAGAGCACTGGTTCATGAGCTGCGTGCAAGGTGAAAAGAAAATAGGACAAAAGAAGTAGAATGTACTGGGTTGGGGTTTTTTGAAAATCAGAACAGAAATACAAATTTCCTTCTGCAGGACCATTAGTTACAATCTTCACTATTGATAGCTGAAACGAATATATACTACCCAAGCAAACTACAACCATGGTGCAGCTTATTGAGGCAAAAAAGCAACTAGACCTTTTTCCTCATATAGTGAGTACCTGACATCAGTAAAAACAAAACACTCGGATTTTTTAATGTGAATTTTAGTCACATGAGATATCATGTTGTATATGCATACTTGTCTCCAATACCTAACTGGCTTTATTGGTTTTTAAGTTTTATCGTCTGATCAGTTCTTAAACACACGCTAGTTGTTTCTATTAATGTCAGTTCCTTTGAATCATTGCTCAGCCACATGGGGAAAAAACAAACATTCCCCTAAATCATCACTGAATCTGGTCCGTTTGACTGGAAATTCATTTTCCTCTTCAAGCAGAGTCTCACATTTTGAAAAAACCAGTCCTAGGAGGCTGGGTTCGTTCCCTTGCTCCTTGAGACACAGTACTTCATTCATGCCCTCTATTAAAACCTTTCCTGCAGTAGCTTTCCTGTGGGACGTCTGTCTAGAATTTCACACTTATGAGGGGCAAAATTATCAGACCTGCGAGTTCCTGCGAGTAATAAATACTTTTCATGGCTTCCCATAGTTTTCATGGCTTCCATTCATAAGTGAACTTAAGAACTAAGCCACTTACATTTGCTGCCCTTCCTTTTAACATTTCCATTCTTTCCATATCTCTTTGCAAAATTACGCATAGCAAGTAAAGCCTTACTGAATAGTTGGCACTTCTTTATTCCCATATGTCTGCTTAGTTGTTTTCTGTGCAAGTATCCTATTGCTTCGGTAGTTGTTGTCAGGCACAGCATGATCTAATCAGTAGTTTAGATTCTGCTGAAGATTCCTACAACTTATTTGATGGTAAAGTGTGTAAGTAACAAAGGAGTTCAAGGGTATGTCTCTACAATGAAATGGAGCGTGGGACAGAGCTCTCACATCTAACTACAACCACAAATGCGGATATTGACCTGACCAATCTCTGTACAGACCAACTCATTCATATATGGACCCAGCTTCAGGTAAAAGGATTGAGACAATCAGATGAAGGCAGTGGCATGATCTAAGCCTTGTTCAAGGTCAGTGGGATTTTGTCTCCTTTAATGATGTAGGCACTCTTGAAAGTGTTGCACTCTCTGTCACTCCATTTTTGTTCCTACGTATAGTATACTGATGATGTCCTATGCACTGCCCTTTGCCTCATATTGATGTACTGTGCAATCATCTAGAAACACTCACTGTTGTAGCGTTATGTTACCTGATATACTTGTCCCAAGGCATCCACTTCCACTTTACAGTTCTTTTCTCTTTAATTAAAGTGTGCTTTTTGCGGGGATCACATGGTTTATGCCAGCCATCTGTGTTCCATCTCTCTCTTAAACTGACCTTATATCGATCTTCAGAAAATTTATTATTCCTAGACATCTAAAGTTTAAGTTTGTGCAGAAGCTTCCAATAGTTGACTTTACTATAAAAAGTTGTTAAATATATAACTATAATACACATAAATACCCTCTTTATTCTGTAAAAATGTATTGCTTGTGGTGTTTGCTACATTGGCTCAGCATATTGAAAAATCTGTAGGGAGGCATAGTTATGTCCCTCGAGCTAGTATCAAATTGATGGGCGAAAAGTAGGAGAAGCCCAGCCAACATGATCTTTGTAAGTGACATGGCACCTTACCAGCAGGAACAGGAGCAGGGCACCTCTCTTCTAAATCCCGGTTCAGCCTTTGATTCTGTGGAACATGCTGACTTCTTGTTTAACTGGGATTAATGATCACACCCTTTGATGACACCAGGAAAAAAAACCTCAGGCACAGATCCAGGGCTTAACAGTTCCTCTTTGAACTCAGACGACAGTAGTTCAGAAGCAGCAGAGTCTCTGACGTTCCCTTTTGTCAAATGAGATATGGCATTTTGAAACACGTTTGGTATAATACTTAATCCTGGTGAGATTGCAAACAACTGTTCTTGTCCTTCCTAAATCTAGATATGGTTATTATTATTTGTTATAGAGGTACCGATTTTTTTCAAATACAGTATACCTTTTCTATACACCTTAAAATGTATATATTGGGAAAACCAAGCCTGAAACAAAATTCAGCATCCAAACACTGTGAAATTTGTATGCATAAATTGTCATTAATGACTAGCAACATTTTTTAAGAGGTTAAGTTTCAACAACTGTACTTACAGCTTTCAGCACTCCAAAGGGGAGAGTCCAATGAAGAGAACTGTACAGGTTACTAAGAAATCTGTAGGAAAAATAAAAGCAGAATTACATACAAGTTATTTTTAACTATACAGTCCTACCTGCAGGACTCTGTGCAGGCCACAGAGCTGATGGTTATTTCTCTGATTTGAGGGATGAGAAATTCAGACTGAGAGGATCATATTTCTTTTATTACTCACTTTTTTCTTTATTACCTTGCTGCCAGCAAAGAGCAGTTG